GAGAAATTTCCCTTTCTCTTCTTTGTTTGCACAGTTCCTGGTGTTCACCTTTGGATTTGGCCCCGCCTCTGCATGTAGGTTGCCCTCTGGCATCTGTTCTTTTCCCAGACAGGAGGTGGTTAAAGGAGCAGCTGATTAGGGGGCTCTGGCCCACTTAGGCCAGGGGGAGGGAGAGTTACAGAATGTGGGGCAAGCTTGTGGCGGCAGAGGCCAGCATGATGTTGCAACAGTTTGAGGCGCACCATGTGTTCTCCTGGGGAAGTTTTCCCTGGATCACAGGACCCTGGCAGTGGCGGGCTGCAGAGGCTCCTGGGAGGGGAGGTGTGGATAGTGACCTGGGCTTGCACACAGGATTCTTGGTGCCTGCAGCAGCAGCATTAGTGTTTCATGCCCGTCTCTGGTGTCTGTGCTGATAGCCGTGGCTTGCACCCACCTCTGGAGCTTCTTTAGGCCGGCCTCTGAATCTCCTCTCCTCACGCACCCCGAAACAACCGTCTCTTGCCTCTTAGGCAGCGCCAGACTTTTTCCTGGACTCCCTCCCGGCTAGCTGTGGCGCACTAGCCCCCTTCAGGCTGTGTTCACGCAGCCAACCCCAGTCCTCTCCCTGGGATCTGACCTCTGAAGCCCAAGCCTCAGCTCCCAGCCCCCACCCGCCTTGACGGGGAGCATAGAAGCCTCTCAGGCTAGTGAGTGCTGGTCAGCACTGATTGTCTGTGTGTGAATCTCTCCACTTTTCTCTCTGCACCCCTGTTGTTGCACTCTCCTCTGTGGCTCCGGAGCTTCCCACCCCGCCCCTGCCAGTGAACAGGCTTCCTAATGTGTGGAAACTTTTCCTTCTTCACAGCTCCTTGCCTGAGGTGCAGGTCCCACCCCTATTCTTTTGTCTGTGTTTTTTCTTTTACCCTACCCAGGTACGTGGGGAGTTTCTTGCTTTTGGGGAAGTGTGAGGTCTTCTGCCAGTGTTCAGTAGATGTTCTGCTGGAGTTGTTCCACATGTAGATGTATTTTTGACGTACTGTGGGGAGGAGGGAGACCTCCATGTCTTACTCCTCCGCCATCTTGAAGGTCCTCCCACTGAATGTTTTTTATACATGTCTTTTGTAAGGAAAAGAAAGGATATGAAGGTGGTTGAATGTGTTTTTATAATGTGGCTCTAAATCTGTACATTTTAATGGATACTTTCATTAAAAATTAGTACTGGGCTTCCCTGGTGGTGCAGTGGTTGAGAGTCCGCCTGCCAATGCAGGGGACACGGGTTCGTGCCCCGGTCTGGGAAGATCCCACATGCCGCGGAGCCGCTGGGCCCGTGAGCCATGGCCGCGGAGCCTGTGTGTACGGAGCATGTGCTCTGCAACAGGAGAGGCCACAACAGTGAGAGCCCCACGTATCACAAAAAAAAATTAGTACTAAAGAACGCAAATGAGTAAGTAACCCCCATGTGGGTCACTCTTTTAGAGGTGAAAATGTTTACTGAAAAGCAGAGCAGGTCTGATATCACAGATATAGCAGCTTGAAACTTGCTTTCTTGTAGTTGGTCTACATTTCTGCCATTAAAACTAAGCTTTAAATGAACATTTGGGGGCTCCCCTGGTGGCGCAGTGGTTGAGTGTCCACCTGCCGATGCAGGGCACACGGGTTCGTGCCCCGGTCCAGGAAGATCCCACATGCTGTGGAGCGGCTGGGCCCGTGAGCCATGGCCGCTGAGCCTGTGTGTCCGGAGCCTGTGCTCTGCAACAGGAGAGGCCACAATAGTGAGAGGCCCATGTACCGCAAAAAAAAAAAAAAAAAATAGATGAACATTTGGCCACTCAAATGAAGCCTGTTTCTTGCTGGTTGAGTGGTGAAGATAAATAAAAAAGCATCAGACTTGGACCACAAATGAATATCCTAGATCCGTAACGGCAGAGTTGCCTGGCCTGCCAGGATCACCAAACTATCTCTTGACTTATTCGTGAGAGACAGAGAGAATAATATAGTTTTCTCCCAAGCTTCAGAAATCACACAATATCTTTGAATAGTCTCTGCAATTCATTCAATTATAGATATGTGCTATGTTTTAGCTGTCTTGGCTAACACTGGTGATCAGAAGATTGACCTGGAGTACTTGTTAGAATTCAAGTTCCCAGATTCCTCTTCTAGAGTTTTGGATTCTTTAGGATAAAGAGAAGCCCAACTCTCTGCACTTTTAATAAACTCCTAAGTAATGGATTATTTGTTCACCTTTGAAACTATTTCTTTAATTACAGTTACCAGAAGTATTCATGTCTTTTAATCCACTAACCAACCAACCAAAGAGTATTTTAATAAAGATAATACTATTTAACATTTTATTGATTGAAATATTCATGATTACAAATTACATTAGGTTTTGTATTATTGAACACACAATTAAGATGGGTTTTCAACTGTCACTGAATAACTGAAGACAAAATAGAAATCTTTCATTGGCAGGTTCTTAGAGTTGGAAAAGTTCTTCAACGATCTATATTCCATCTTCTGTAGTATTGAAGGCTTTGTCTGATCATCTAGGAATTTAAAGCCCTGATGGAGAAGACTAATTGTAGAATCCATTTCACAACAGAATTGCTATAAAAGCCATAGGAATGTGTGGCTGAGGCAGAGTCAGCAACAACCCCAATGACTAAAACCAAATTTTCCACTATCTTCTCTGTAAAGAAAGAAAAAGCAAAAAAGAAAAATTATGCTTAAAAAAGTATTTAATATTGCCTGAGCACTGCACTAAGCGCTTCTCCATGAGGAGAATCTGAATATAAGAGTGCTAGGAGGGCTGTGCTCCCCTTCCTCAAACAGGTAGCTGGGCCCCTCCTTACCCCCCTACCCTACACAGGTCCTCCCAACGACCTGGGGCTACTTGACTCTTCCTACATGCTCAGTCCTGACTCAGCCTTGGAACCCACTGAGGAGAGACCTCAGAGAGGAGGATTAGAGATTGTTTTCATCGTTCTCTAGAAGGAGAAGCCCATTTGGGGATTAAATGAGAGGAAACACCAGTGAGAGGAAATGAGGTGGGAAGTAGGAAGGCTGGCTGAACCTTGAGACTGAGAATTCCCTCGGGGGAATGAGGCAGCAAGGGAGGTTAGGTGGAAGTGTCTTAGCATGCCCTGCTCTCTAAGGAAAGTTTGGAGTCTTGTCAAGGAGATCAGGGGACAAAATGGACCACTGGAGGAGTTCCTTTCTAGCATAAATTGTCCATTGTGATGGATTTAAATTTCTGAAGTCAGTGGCTTTTCTTGCTCAGTTATGCTCCCTGTAGCTTGGAGCTACATCATAGAGGTTCTCATTCAGCCTCTGGAGTTAAGAATTACATTATATCGGTCACCAGACTTCCATTAGTAAGTCACAGCAATTAAATCAAGTTAAAGTAATTGATTTATACAGTTGGGTAACATCCAACAGGGATGGGTATACTTCGAGGTCAAATGAAAACTACTTTTAGGAATGAGACTTAAGGGAAAGGTACCAGTGTGTTTCTTTGGCTTTAACAGAGAAAGTACAGTTATTTTCCATCTATACTGTGACCTGGCTATCAGAAAAATGGAGGTTCCTATAATTTTGTGATTGTTTCTTCATTATTTTGGATGAGCCAATATTTAGTCTTGTGTTCTTACAGCTTTTCACTGCAGAAAACACATTTATTGGAGTACGTTCGGCCATTCGTTGCACAGATTGGGTCCATTTCTCTGGTGCAAAAATGTAACCGATCCACATACACGTTACATTCTGGCTGTTAAACAGACAACATAAAAATTTTCAGATAATAAACTTTTTGAATAAAATATTTTTTATTCCTAATACAAAATGGTATGCATCAAAATGAAATATATTCTACAGTCTATATTGAGATTTAAAAATAGACATAAGTCATGCACAGAGACATAAAAATATTTTGATATATTTTTGCAACCCCAATATTTTTTGTATTTTTTAAAAACATACAAATGGCTAAACGCATTTTAATAATTTAGCCACTCTGCCCCTACTTCACCTCATACATGGATCAGATTTTCACCATTATCTCATACCACAAAAAATTATAAAAGTGAATTTGTTATAATTCTTCTGTTTTCCTCAATAGTTTCACTAATAGATAATCTGATAGTTTCAGATTATCACTGTATATGTATGTGTTCATATATATGTTTGTATATATGTAACCATATACGTGTATATATATAATTTGTGTAGTGATGGCAGTGTTGGTAATTTACATAAATAAACAATAGTGTGTGTATCCTTACATGAGCTGCTTTTTAGGCATCTTTAAAAATGTTTGTTTAGATGTTTAGAAATACAGTTGATTTTCTTCACCTCTATGTAATATTCCAATCTGTGATTTTATGAAAATTATTTTATATTCCTGTAAGTGGAAAATTAGGGTTTTTTAAAAATAAATATCTGTTTGAGTCCCTGCTTTCAATTTTATTTTACTTATTTTTTAAAATTTTATTTATTTTTGGCTGCATTGGGTCTTCATTGCTGTGTGCAGGCTTTCTCTAGCTGCAGCAAGCAGGGGCTACTCATCGCATTGGCTTCTCTTGTTGTGGTGCACAAGCTCTAGGTGCACAGGCTTCAGTAGTTGTGGCTCGTGGGCTCTAGAGCACAGGATCAGTAGTTGTGGCACACTGGCTTAGCTGCTCCGCGGCACGTGGGATCTTCCCGGACCAGGGCTTGAACCCGTGTTCCCTGCATTGACAGGTGGATTCTTAACCACTGCACCACCAGGGAAGCCCAAAATTAGTTGTTGTTGTTTTTTGCGGTACGCGGGCCTCTCACTGTTGTGGCCTCTCCCGTTGCAGAGCATAGGCTCCGGACGCACAGGCTCAGTGGCCATGGCTCACGGGCCCAGCCGCTCCACGGCGTGTGAGATCTTCCTGGACTGGGGCACGAACCCGTGTCCCCTGCATCGGCAGGTGGACTCTCAACCACTGTGCCACCAGGGAAGCCCCCTAAATTAGTTTTTTTTAATCCTCTTCTTTTTCTAGGGTGAACAATTCCACTTTAAACACTGTTTTTTGATGCCTGTATATAACAAGGTTTATGCTCAATAATAAAACTGTGAATAATGGGATATTTTTACCTTGTCTGAAATGACGGATGGTTTTATATAGCTGGCAAGATTCTATTTCTTGAACTTAGTGTAAGAATGACACTTCATCTTACTTTTTGAAGGACTATTCTGTTATAGATATTTTTGATAAAATTTGCTGTTAAAACTTAAAATATAAAAAAAATTAAAAGTTTACCTTTTTCAATTCCCACATTAATCAGTATGAACTTACAGTTTCACGTGTCTCTCTTAAGGGTACAAAAGCAGTTTCTGCAACCATCACACAAAAGGTAAATTGAAAAGAAGAAGATGAACAGGGGAAAACAATGTTTCTGGTGGGAAGTACCCACATCTATGCAAATCACCTACTCAAACACAGCAAGTAATGAGGTGAGGCTTTTGTGGTAGTATCAAAATAATCATCTCACAAAATAACTTCAAATCTGGAAATAGAATTCTAAATTCATCTCACTCTGAAAAATAAGTATGGCTTAATAATCACCAAACCCTGCTGTGGAGATACCACTTTTTTTCATTTTTATAAATAGAGACATCCTAGTCAGAGAAGACAATGCCTTGCTTAAGGCCACTTAATATGAAGAAGTTAATTACTACTTAGTATTCAACTCGAGTATCATGGATCTTGTTAATATCTCACAGCTACTTTACTCTGAAATTCATGGGCCATCTTGTGCTTTAAGAAAGATAAGTTTTCAGCAGAGGGATCAATTACTTCTCTCCTTACACAAAGCCTTGACTTTAGTGGACTCAGAGCCAGCAAACAACAAATAGGATTGTCAAGGATACCAGATCTAGAGGACTTTTTTACTGCTCACACTCTGCATTTAGCAACAATGAAATCTGACCTCCAAAAAGGGGGAAAAAATCAGGTAAATATCTTTAATCATAAATAAACAGAAAACTAAATTTTACTGCTCATTCTAACCCCCTCTGTCTCTACCTTTCTAAGGGGGGAAATGAGAAAAAGCAATCTACTGATGTAATTTTTAAATAGGTATTTGTAACATTTCATTTTGCCCGTTTAAGTATTACATACCCAACAGCAATCTCCTTCATTCCTAGGTAATAGCAGTTGTTTCCTACATTTCCTAAAATATGTTAGTTGCTTCATCCAGGTCTGAAAATTTTACTCACCAAAATAAAGAGGACATGCCAAGCCAATAATGAAAATAACTTTGATCCATGATGAGAAGAGAGACATCTTATCAAGTCTGTAGAATAAATGCATAGGAATGCTTATAACACATGGCACAGGGACAAATTGCCCATTTCCAAATGAAAGTTTCTTACAGCTAAGGGAACTGCCCCCCTCTCCTAGGTTTGTAATTATGGTGGGAATCTTCCCCCCAACCCACAGGACATACATGTGAACAGAAGGCCTTGTAGAAGACTTGAGAGAAACACTAGGACAAGTTCTCTTTGCCCATTTAAGGAGGAGCGGTTTACTCTCCCAACCCTTGGCTCAGCCAAGGAGCCTGGCTGCATTTAAGGAAATATGCACTTTGGAATTTCAGTTTTTCCTCAGAAAACAGAAATAGTTATTTCAGGAAGGACTGACCTGCAGCAGTCCTCACAGCAATGTGACACACCAGGGCTACCTCCACAGCATCCCCACCTGACCTACCTGAAACAGAGAAGGCCATGGAGAGTGAGGTCTGCAGCTCCAGGGACTATGCCTATTTTGATTCCCTTTCCTTCTCAACCACTTCCCCCAGCTGAAGAGTCTCCTGTATTGGACTGTTGGTGACCAGCCTGGTGGGGTAAAAGAGATGGCCCCCAGCAGATAAGACCCTGAGGTTTTCTGTGTTCTTCCTCACGAAGATCTCACACAGATCATCTCTCAGCAGGGGTTTGGGACAATTTTATCTGATGAACACATGTATGAGGAAGGGAGAAGGTGACAACAATTCTTTGAAACTCTAAGGTACAGAAGAGATGGGAAGCTTTCCGAGTTCCTGAGTTGAAAAGAAAGGATAATCAAAACAAGAAAGAAAAGAATGAGTTTGGGGAACTATAATTAGATACCTACCTACACCCTTAGTATTTTGAAGGACAGTAGAAGTTCATTAGACTCAATGGGAGATTTCATTTTTATTAAACTTTTTATCTTGAGTTGAATGGAGATTCTCATCAAGCCGTAAGCACTAATGCGGAGAGTTCTTGTGTTCCTTTTAATCAATTTCCCCCACTGAGAAGATCTTGTAAAATTATGGTACAAATTCACAACCAAGAATGTTCAAAAAGACTGTCAGGGCAACCAGCTATGGAAACCTGAGGTAGAGGACAGAATGTGAATATTAAGAAGAGAAAGAAGGCTTGGGAATGAAACTGAGACCACAGGGGACAATGCCCTCAACTATATGATGAATAATTTGATCTTTACCTCAAAGTAAAGTGGGAAACTGTGCAAAGTAAAGTGGGAAACTGTGCAAAGTAAAGTGGGAAACTGGAAGTAGTAGGAAGAGGTATATAATATGAGCTATTTAATTAATCTGCTTCACAGTCTGACTCTGTGGGAAGAACTTTGGCAAATGAAAGTCCTGAGTTCAAATGCCATCTACCACTGAGTAACCTTGAGACAATATTCAGACTTTCTAATCCATTATTTCCTAATTTTAAATGTGGGAATAATTTCTGTCTCAACGATTTGCCATAAATATTAGGGATAAAATATTAAAACAGGATGCACTTAAAGTTGTGCTAGATTACATGTGTCACCCTAACCGAACCTTTTTTTTTTTCAGTGAAGAAAGCCAAGATTGAGAAAAGAACCTTTGAGTCTAGCACTGTTCCGTGCCAATTTAATGGGAGGATACAAAATCTGGTAAGTGCTAAAATTTTTCCTTTATTATAGGAAGTTATTATCATGCTTTCGCTAGATTTTGAATTATTTACATAGATACCATCAGAGACATCTGTGCAGATAATCCTTCTGGCACACGGCCTTGGAGGGTAAAATTAAACTGAAGTTTAGAGTTGAAGTGATTGTACAGTCCTTGAATCCCACAACACTGGATTTTTTCTCTTATGTGCGTTCATTAGCAGAGATTAAGAGCAGAAGACACTGCCTATGAGATACAACAGGCCATGAGGTTTCTAAATTAACCATGAAAGGGAATGTTAGATGTGTGGGTTATTTGATGCATATTTTTTCTGAAAATGTTTAATGTGCATAAATACATTTATACTGTAAAGTTACAGATATTTAATATACAACTATACTAAAATCACATATAAATATATGCATATGTGTATATATGCAGATATATGCATGTGTATATATGTCTATATATGTATGTATATAATTCTATATATCTATATATTCACAAATATACTAACATTTACATGTAATAACACATATATATGTAATAACATTAACAATATAGATACATATATATATATACACACACACACAGAGCATACAGATAGATATACATAGATATCTATATATGTAAGTTATCTAAGTGAGCCCTAAATGTCATCACAAGTATCCTCATAAAAGGGAGACTGAAGAAGATTTGATGCAGACACACAAAGAAGGCCAAATGAAGATGGAGTTAAGAGAGATCTGAAGATGCTGGCCCTAAAGATGACTGGTGATAAATAGATAGATAAAAATAGAGACAGAAGAATAAAATCAAGACATTTCTCTGTAACTCAGTTTTTCATTTAACAATCAATGGTATATCTTCATATAAGCATATACAAACACACAATTCCTTTTAAGTTATTCTTGCTACCAGTGTTGTAATGAACATGGTTGTGCAGGTCACTACATGCTCATTCAATTAGTTCTATATTTTTAGTAGTTGCATTTTTGAGTCACATAATATGTGCAGTTTAAATTTTAAAGATAAGACCAGTTTACTTCCTGAAAGCCTTATATCATCTTACTATGAAAAAGACAGATTACAAGTATGGTTGGTTCTCTGTATCTCACCAAATGAGTGTCATCTGAAATATTCATGTTTTCACACTCACAGTTAAATATATACAAAAATATAAAGTGTATATATTTGGATGATTTTGTTCAGTGACAAAATTTCTCCATCTGGGAATAAGCTGAAATTGTTTATTAAATAAGTTAATGAAGTCATAATTTCTATTTTTTTACTTTTAAGAATTTTCATCTACAAACATGGTTTAACTTCCAAATTATTTAAGTGCTGAATATGTGAAGAAAATATTCCTCTCTAATTAATACAATTCATAGTTATGTTCTGTAAATGAGAAATTTGGAAATCTTTGGAGAAACTTCCTGTTATATATACATATACAAATGGAACAGCTTATTTGAAGTGGTGATGGGTGAACTTTGGCTACCCGGCCTCTTTTGTCTATTTAGAGTTAACTCTAGCTGGAGAACGCTGAACTACATGTCTGTGTTTCCTCTCTCATATTCCAAAGTTTATGGTGCTTAGGAGATCCTGTTAGATGATCCCTGAGCACAATATAATGCAGTCTGTTTTACACTGTCACAAGGTTCCCCTGCCCCAAATATATATTCCAGCTTTATTGAGTATGACATAACAGGCATACCTTGGAGATACGGAAGGGTTTGGTTCCAGACTGCTGAAACAAAGTGAATATTGCAATGAAATAAGTAACATAAATTTTTTCGTTTCCCAATGCAAATAAAAATTATGTTTACACTATACATATGTAGCCTATTAAGTGTGCCATAGCACTGTGTCTTAGAAACAATGTACACGCCTTAATTTAAAAATACTTTATTGCTAAAATATGCTAACCATTATCTGAAAACACAGGGTTGCCACAAACCTTCAACTTTCAAAAAACACAGTATCTGAAAAGTACAATAAAGGAAAGCATGCCAAAAGACTAATGAACATAGATGAAGCAGTCCCCAACAAAATATTAGCAAACCTAATTCAACAGTATGTTAAAAGGATCATACAACATGATCCAGTGAGATTCATCCCAGGGATACAAGGATGGTTCAATTTCCAGAAATCAAACAATATGATACACCACACTAACAAACTGAAGAATAAACGTCATAATGATTATCTCAATAGATGCAGAAAAAGCTTTTGACAAAATTCAACATCCATTTGTGATAAAAAAGTGAGTATAGACAGAACACACCTCAACATAGTAAATGCTATCTATGACAAGTCCACAGCTAACATTATACTCAATGGTGAAAAGTAGAAAGCATTTCCTACAAGATCAGGAAAAAGACAAAGATGCCCACTCTTGCCACTTTTATTCAACATAGTATTGGAAGTCTAGCTGCAGCCATCAGAAAAGAAAAAGAAATAAAAGGAATCAAAATTGGAAAGGAAGAAGTAAAACTGTCACTGACTGTAGATGACATGATACTATACACAGAAAATCTTAAAGATGCCACCAAAAAAACTACTAAAGCTCAGCAATGAATTCAGCAAAGTTGGAAGATACAAAATTAATATACAGAAATCTATTGCATTTCTATATACTAACAATGAACTTTAGAAAAGAAAATTAAGAAATGAACACCATTAAGAAACTAAGAAAACAATTGCATCAAAAAAATAAAATACCTAGGAATAAAAAGACCTGCACCCAGAAAATATAAGAAACTGGATGAAAGAAGTTGACAATGACACAAACAGATGGAAACATTTGCTGTGATGGAAAGATTTACCATGCTCATGGATTTGAAGAATTAATGTTATTAAAATGATCATAGTACCCAAGACAATCTACAGATTCAGTGCCAAAACATCAAAGGCATTTTTCACAGAACTAGAACAAACAGTCCTAGAATTTGTATGGAAACACAAAAGACCCTGAATAGCCAAAACAATCTTGAGAAAGAAGAACAAAGCTGGAGGTATCACACGCCCTGATTTCAAACTATACTACAAAGCACCATGATCAAAACAGTATGGTACTGGCACAAAAACTGACACATAGATCAGTGGAGCAAAATAAGACCCCAAAAATGAACCCATACTTATATGGGCAATTTATCTACAACAAAGGAGGCAAGAATATACAATGCAGAAAAGACAGCCTCTTCTATAAATGATGTTAGGAAAATTGGACAGCTACACACATAAGGATCAAACTGGACTCTTCTCTCACACCAGGCACAAAAATAAATTCAAAATGGATTAAATATTTAAATGTTAAGACCTAAAACCATAAAACTTTTTGAAGAAAACATAAGCAGTACACTCTTTGACATAAGTCTTAGCAATTTTGTTTTTGGATATGTCTCCTCAGGCAAGGAAGACAAAAGCAAAAAAACCCAAATGGGACTACATCAAACTAAAAAGCTTTTGGACAGAGAAGGAAACTATCAACAAATCTAAAAGGCTGCCTACTGAATGTGGGAAGATATGTGCAAACTTATTTCTCACAAGGGATTAATATCCAAAATATACAAAAAACTCATATAACTCAGTATGAGAAAAACAAACAACCCAATTAAAAATTGGGCAGAGGACCTGAATAGACATGTTTCCAAAGAAGATCTACAGATGGCCAACAGGCACATGAAAAGATGCTCAACATCACTAATCATCAGGGAAATGCAAATCAAAACCAAAATGATATATCACCTCATATCTGTCAGAATGGCTACTATCAGAAAGACAACAAATAACAAATGTTGGCAAGGATGTAGACAAAGGGGGACCCTCATGCACTGTTGGTGAGAATGTAAATTGGTGACGTCTCAATGGAAAACAGTATGGAGATTCCTCAAAAATTAAAAAAAAGAACTACCATATGATCCAGCAATTCTACTCCTGGGTATTTATGCAAAAAAAAAAAAAAAAAAAAAGAAAAGAAAAAACCCCCACTAAGTTGAAAATATAGATTCACCCCTATATTCATTCCAACATTATTTACAGTAACCAACATACAGAAGCAACTTAAGTGCCCAATCAATAGATGAATGTATAAAGAAGATGTGATAGTGATACACACACACACACACGCCAGAGTATTATTTAGCTATAACAAAGAACAAAATCTTGCCATTTGCAGCAACATGGATGAACATAGAGGGTATTATGCTAATTGAAATAATTCAGACAGAGAAAGACAAATACTATATGATTTCACTTATACGTACAATCTAAAAAACAAAAACAAATGAAACGAAACACAACTAAACAGAAACAGAGTCACAGATACAGAGAACAAACCAGTAGTTGTCAGATGTCAGAGGGGAGGGGGTTGGGGGCTGAAGAGAAATAGGGGAGACAGATTAAGAGGTACAAACTTTCAGTTACAAAATAAATCAATCACAGCTATGAAATGTACAGTGCGGGGAATCCAGTCAATAATTATGCAATATCTTTGTGTGGTGACAGAAGACAATTAGATTTATCATGGTGATCGTTTTGAAATGTACAGAAATATAGAATCACTATGTGTGTACCAGGAACCAACACAGTGTTGTAGGTCAATTATACTTCAAAAACAAACTCATGGAAAAAGAGATCAGATTTGTGGTTACCAAAGATAGGGGGTGAGGAGAGATGGAATTGTATGAAAGTAGTTGAAAGGTAAAAACTTCCAGTTATAAGATAAATAAGTACTAGGCTTGCAATGAACAACATGTTAAATATAATTAACACTGCTGAGCATTATATATGAAAGTTAAAAGAGTAAATCCTAAGAGTTCTCATCACAAGAAAAAATTTTTTTCTATTTCTCTAATTTTGTATCTGTACGGGATGATGGATGTTCACTAAACTTACTATAATTATTTCATGATATATGTAAGTCAAATCATTACGCTGTACATCTTAAACTTACACAGTGCTGTATGTCGATTATATCTCAATAAAACTGGAAGAGAAAAAAGAGGTATGCAGTAACAATTGTTGGTGAGGATGTGGAGGAAACGGAATTCTCATACATTACTGGTGGGAATGGTTAAGAAGATACAGCCACTTTGAAAAATACACTGATAGGTTCTGGAAGAGCGCAAGATAAACCTACCATACAAAGCATCCATTCTACTCTTGGGTGTTTAACCAAGAAAAAATGAAAAGAAAAAAAGACTTGTATAGTAATGTTCATAGCACCATTTTTCTTAATAACCAAAAAGTGGCAACAATTCCAGTGTTCATAACCTAGTGAAAAAGTAAAACAAAACATGGTATATCAATATAAAATGGAATACTATTGAACATTAAAAAGTAATGAACTACTGATGTATAAGCTACAGTGTGAATGAACCACAAAAACCTGTAAAATGAAAGAAGCAGATATAAAAACAACATACTGTTGCATTGTCTTTACAGAAAATGTCTAGAAAAGGTAAAACAAGAGAATACAATGTAGATGAGTAGTTGCCTTGGGTTGGGGGTAGGAAGAGGGCATGACCTCCAAAGGATGAGAGGCACATATTTGGGGGTGATGTAAACACTCTAAACTTTAATTGTGTTGATGGTTGCTTATCTCTCTCCCTCTCTCTCTCTCCCTCTCTCTATATATATTTCAATTATTACATCATGTCTAAAACTGATTAATTTTGGGTATGTAATTACAACAATAAACTGGTTTTTAAAAAGAATAAAATTTCAAGCTTTGTATTCAAACTCTCTTTACCAAAAGGTCAGGTTTAAAATACTGTAAGATTTCCTGTGTCTCATTTTCATAATATGTAAAATAGAGAGCTGATGTCTACCTAATGTGATCCTTAGAAGAACTGAGTTAGGTAACGTGTAGAAAACTGTTTCACAGAGCTTTTGAGGAGAACAGTCATGCAAAAAGGAGGATTTCCATTCATTAGTGGATAATACCTTTAATCGATAACATTTAAATTCCTAGATGATAAGTAAAAGCAGAGCTGATCATTGTTATCTTATTTCTCGCATCTAAGTAGGGCTTGACACATAGACCTTTATTTATGTGGAATTTTAAAAAAAAGAATACATAAATGAATACACATGTTCACTGAAGAACTTTTTCACAAAGTCCTCTGCAAAGAAAAAGTGGTGCAATTGGCCGAAAGCATTTTTATAACGTTGCTCTACAAATTAACATTCTAATGGATACTTTCCTTAAGAGGGATATTTGAGATTTTAAATGATTTAATAGCTCCCACACTGATTACTCTTTAGATGTAAAAGTATCTATTGATAAGAACAGCATGCCTAGCATAGCCTATGTCATAGATTCCCAGTTGTCATTCAACAGTCAACCTACATTTCTGCCACTACATTCAAGGTCTGAATGATCCTTTGGGCACACAACTAAAGCCTGCTTCTTGGGGCTGGAAAACTGAGACTAATGGAGAGACATCTGACTTGGCTCTAATAAAGCAAGTCCTAAGTCAATAAAGGCCGTGTTGCTTCTCATCCCAGGAGCACCCACTTACCTCTCAACTGACTTGTGATCAAGAATGAAAAACATAGAAATTTTTCCCAAGCCTCATAAATCTTATATTATCTTTCTATACATTCTGAAATTTATTCAATTATAGACATACCCGAGGTCTTAGAGTCAGTATTACCTAAGATTCATGATCATAATATTACCTGGGGTGCTTGTTAGATTTCAATTTCCCATAAACCTCTCCTAGAAGTTCTGAATCTTTAGAACAGACAGAATCCAGTTATCTGTACTTTTTTTTTTGGTGGTACGTGGGCCTCTCACTGTTGCGGCCTCTCCCGTTGAGGAGCACAGGCTCCGGATGCGCAGGCTCAGCGGCCATGGCTCACGGGTCCCAGCTGCTCCGTGGCATGTGGGATCTTCCCAGACCAGGGCACGAACCCGTGTCCTCTGCATCGGCAGGCGGACTCTCAACCACTGTGCCACCAGGGAAGCCCTGTACTTTTTATAAATACCCAAGTAATCTAATATTTGGTCATATTTGGAAAATATCTTTTTGGCTATAGGTATCAAAAATTGTTTATGTCTTAACCCATTACCCAACGAAATAAACAAGGGGCATGTTAAAATAAAATGTAACACCATTTAACATTTCATGGAGCAAAATATTTAGGGTTTTAAATTGCATTAGGTTTTACATTATCAAACATATAACTAAGATACTAATTTTTCAAACTGTCATTGAAGAACTGAACATAGAGAGTAAAAATGCTGAAATGAAAGGATCTTAAAGTTAGAAAGAACTTGGAATATACTACATTCCACCTTGTATTCTACAGGGTTCACCTGGTCCTCTAAGAATGGAAGACCCCGACTCTGCAACTCTAATTGTCTGTAGAATCCACTGCAAAATGGGATCACAGTAGAAGTTGTAGGAATGTGTTGCTCCAGGAAAAAGTCAGCATTCACTATAATGAGCAATAGCAAATTTGCCACCACTTTTTCTGTAGAAAGAATCAGACAGAAAGTGAAAAAAAATTATTAAAAGAACACATAAAATTAAACACTGTGGCAGTACACAAAATGTTTCTAAATGAGGAGATCTGAACTATGGGACATTACAGAAAGGCTGTGCTCTACTTCCAGAAGGAGCTGGACCCTGCCTGCTCCCCTGCCTTATACATGTCCTCTCCCTACTGTGGGGCTGTTTGATCCTTCCTACCTGCTCAGTCCTGACTCAGTCTTTGGACTAGACCTAAGAAAGGAAGTCATTAGGCATTGTGTTAATCCAGATTTTCCAAGAGGCAGAAACAATTTTGGGAGTAAGTGGGCAAAGATTTTATGAGGAACACATGTGTAACAAAACGGGGGAGTGTTGCAGAAAAGGCTGGCAAAGCTTTAGACCACAAACTCCTTCCAAGTGGAGGAGAGGGGGATGTGAGTTTGGGTGGAGGTGTCCTAGACTGCTCTGCACTCTCAGGAAGGTTTCAAAGACCATGATGATTTCAGGAGACAAAGTTGACAATCACATGATTTCAGTGTGTAATCATGAGTCTGTTCTTTGCTCAATTATGCCCCCTGTGGCTGGAGGTCTGCAAGGCTGATTCTCATGACTTCAGTGAGATCTTCTGTTGAGCATCAGAGCTTTGGAATAACATCATCTTGGCCACTAGTCAGCCATTAGTAGTTCATAATCAATTAAATTAAGCTAAGTTAACTAGTTCTTTCATTTGCAAAACATCCAGCATGGTTATAGTGATAGTTTAATACTACTTTCAGAAGTAAGAATTTTAAGACATGGTAGAAGTGTGTCTCCTTGGCTTTTAGAGAAATATTATAGTTATTTTCTGTGTATGTTGTGTCTACATTATCAGCAAATGAATTTTCTTATCATTTCATGATTTTTTAATTACTTTGGAAGAGTAAATATTCACTATTGTGTTCTTACTTGAGTGAACCGCAAAAAAAACACAGTTATTGCAGTAAGTGTGGCCATTGGTTGCAAAGACTGGATGATATTCTTTTGTGCATGTTTTCACACCACTGTATGGACCACATTCTACCTGTCAAATATAGAGAGATAATATACATTAGACAATGAATATTTGAATACAATCTTCTTAAATCTTAATATGAAATGCCATACATCCAGAAAAGGATAAATACAATATATGTTTAGATTTAAAGAGTCACATCCAGTAAATAAGAAACTAATATCAGTATTTTTATAGAAATAGTGTATTAACAAAAAGGCCATGCAACTGGCTGAGTTTATTTTTATAATGTAACCAATTTCCCACCCCCACCCATGACCTTCCCCTCCTAGGTGATATTTTTCTTATCACTCTCTCACTCACACAAACACACACACACACACAAGAAAGTCACCAAACTGAGTTTCTACCTCCCTCTAGAATTTCACTACATATCAATACATATATATTTTCACTATATTTATATATTTCATAGTTTTGGGTATCTTGGTAATTTTCACAAATAAATGATACAATATGTATTCTATATGCCTTTCTTTTTATACTCCCTTATGACCTTTATTTATACTGATGTTCAGAGCTGTAATTTACTTTCACCCTTAAGTAATATTCCACTATTTGGCCATATAGAAATCATCACTGTCTATTCTCCTACACACTGGTAATTGGGATGGTGCTTTTTTCCCTTTCATTTTGTTAGGATGAATAATTCTACTCTAAACATACTTTCTATAGCTCTCAGTTTTGTATGCAGCAAGTAACTACCCATGATAGGAAATTTAAGGTAATAGGATAAATACGCTATCACCTTGTATAGACACTGCTAAATGGTTTTGTATTACTTGCTAGATTCTATTTCTTAACCTTGATGTAATAATAATACATACACACTTTTACTTTTTGAAGGAGTGTTTTTTACATTCTGTTTGATCAATTTTGCTGTGATTTTAAAAACTGAAAATGGTTAAAAATTTACATTTCAACTTCCAAATGAACCAGCAGTAACTTACCCAATGCTTGTAACTTGATGTTTTTGTAAGAGCAGTTTCTGCAACCACAGAACAGTTTAAAAAAATAAGAAGCCCACACACACAGTGGCAGTAGAAATCTATGTAAGTGGCCAATTCAAGGAACTACAACTAATGAGGTAAGAATTTTGTAGTAGTAACAAAAACATAAATTCTCAAATATATACAAATCTTAGAAAAAAATAATCCCCCAATTATTCTAGCTTTGTGAAAAATGGTATTATGTATTATATTTTTTAGTAACTCCTAATACCCTGCTTGAAGATACCAATTTTTTAAAGCTCTGTAAAAGAGACATTTCACTGTGATGAAGACAATGCCCTGGGTGAAGTCACTTAAATGTGAAGAAATTCTGCTCAATATCAGGGTATTATTCAATACCTATATAACAGCTCCTTTTATTCCCCTAATTTTATGGGCCACCTTGAACTTTAAGGAAGATAACTGGTCAACAGAGGTATGAATGAGTTCTTTCTTAACACAATGCCTTAATTTTGGGGACTCAGAGCTGATAACTAAAACTTTAGATTTACAAGGAATACCAGATCTAGAAGAGCTCATTCTTTCCCCACACTTTGTAATTACAACCATAGAATCTGGGCCCCAAAAGGAAAAATAATTTAGTTAAACGAAGAGATAAGGTCTACTGCCCATTCTAATGCACCACTCTGTTTTAACTTCTCTAATATGGGAAATGAGAAGAAGCAATTCAATGATGAAACATTTAAAAGGAATTTATAGTAAACCCTGTGTCACTTTACCAATTTAAGAATTACGAATCAATGAAACCACCACTACATTCCTACGTTACAGCAAAATGCTTCCTGCATTTCTAGGATATATGAAGTGTTTTCCCCAAGACTGAAAAATTTACTCACCAGAATAAAGAGTAATGGCCAAGATGATGAAAATCACTTTGATCCATGATGAGGTGAGAGGCATTTTATCGAATCTGTCAGAGAAACTCCTCAGGATGTCTGAAACAATGGCACAGAGATACATGGCCCATTTCCAACAGACAGGTAAATGAAATCTAGACAAACTTAGAAAGTGTTTTACTTGTAGAGGAACTACTCCAACTCCCTAGATCCCAAGTTAAGGTGGACTGTCCCATCTGTTGCTCCCCCAACCCTACAATTCAGCAAGAAATATCACGACATCAGAAGACTGCCCTAAAGTGTGAGAGAAAACCCATGAAAAGTGCTCTGTGAATAGGTGAGAAGAAGCTGATTATTCTCCCCAATCTTTGAGTCAACCCACAAGGAGCCTGGCTGCACTTCGAGTAAACATGCACATTTGAATCTCTGTGTGTTCTTCTGACAAACAGCAATAGGTATTTCTGGAATGATAAATCTGGAGCAATACTGACAGCAGTGTTCCAGGGCTACTCCCCTAGGTTCCCCACTTGACCTGCCTGACGGAGAGATCAAGAGTGAAGCAACAGTGGCTATCTAATTCACCTTTCCTTCCTGACCATCCATCTCCACTCTTACTGACTTGTGAGTGAGGAGATTGGTGGGGTAATACAGAGCACTCAGGGCAGATAAGAGGCAGAGATATTCCGTGTCTTGCCTGGGGGGTATTCAGTAGGTCAGGAGTGATGCCTCACTGATATCTTGCAATACATGTTCCCTCAGCAGGGGGCTTGGGACCGTTTGATCTGATGAACCCAGAAGTATGAGGAGGAAAGAAGGAAATACCTGCAGTTATAGATTTTACAGTAAGAAGGTATGTGGGGAAAAAAGAAATGTGAAAACTTTCCAAGCATGTGAGTTGGAAAGGAACAAGAGAATCAAGCAGGAAAAAAGAAGAGTTTGGAAATGTCAATTCAACTGGGGTCTAAACTCTTAGAACTTTTAAGAAAAATCACCATTTGCTAAAGTATCTCTTATACAAACTACCTGTTAAAGAAAGAATAAAACTTGATGAAAGTGCTGGGGAGAAAAAAATTTTTTTTTTCTCTACCCTTCTAAGTTCTTCTGGTTGGTCTAAGGATTAAATTGACATAAGAGACATTCACAGGAGAAAATCAAATTTAATTATTTAAATACGGCGAATCCAAACATGAGAAATCCCAAAGACAGGCAAAATGATACACGCGCGGGCTTGCGTGCTAGGTTCCTCCCTGTCTACCACACCCAGTTTATATTATACTCTAGGTATCTCTGGTGATAGCTCCCTTCCTGGAACAGGTCCTCTATCTACATTCTTTAGGCAGTTAGGTCAAAGGTTCTTCCTGAGTCTTTTCTTTCTTAAAAACAATCAACCCAAAATAATCCTCATGCCAAAGAGATCCATTTAGGGGTGGCAAATTTTCCTTCCCTTAAAAAGCAAATCTATTAGAGGTCAAGTTAATGTTGTTCAATAAGTTTTCATTCTAATGAATACATAAAGAATAGACACCTGAGATATTAAATTATATTTATAATTTATTTACAAATTATAAAGGGTGTTACATTTATCACCCTTCCATTCCCCAAAATATTTATGGAGTCATTACCATGAACCTGACATGGTAATTATGGTATACTCTTATTTTCAAATATTAATTGTACATTTCATTAGAAAAAAAATTTTAAATGAGCATTTGGCTTTCCAGTTAAGCATAATTCTCACTGGCTTAGAAGTGGACAGGAATGGACCACCATCTGTCATCTACCCCAAAATGGAAGACTTAACTTGTGGATGGCGGCCCAGATCTACCCATCTACCTTGGAACCATTACATGGAAACAAATAAAATCGTAAATAAGGGTGCTATAGTCTTTTACGTTTGTTATATTAGTTTAGCCTGTATCCTAACAAATACAGTGAACTTCAACCAACCTTCTGTACAGAGTTGCATTTCTTTGTATGTTAAACACATGTATCATGTCAGTCTCAGTCTAATGATGGAGATGCTAACGGCTAGGAATGTGTGAGGCCTGGAATACTTGTGGCAGCCCCATTTACCCAATGCTGTGGCTGGAATGGCCCTTGTGGTTCTTACTATGATTGCAGGACACAATTCGGGAATGCAAAGTGGATCATATTGTCTGTTTTTCCAGTTATGCTCCAGACATAGGCCATGTGCAATTTTATGTGCTCTCCAAATTAATCTGTATTTTGGGGGTTCGGGGTGGAGATGTGTGAGGAGATCTGATTTACCCAGGTGTCATTTTCTAATAGGGATCAGGAAATCTTCTTAATCTTAATATTAGTGTTTTTCTGCCTGGCAAAACTAAAATTATGCTAGTAAACAAAGGATCACTTTGGCTCTTGAGAACAAGGGAAAAGGAGCCCCAGGGATGCAACAGGTAATTAGTAGCCAAAGGACTCTGAATCTTTAGCAGATAAAACTCTCCTCAGTTGGAGGGTGCAGGCAGTTTTCTTTTCGCATGTTAATTTAATTTCTAAAGTGCTTCTAAAGGCACTCAAAAAGTGGACACTAGTGCTAAACATATTTAAAGACCTTCTAACTTACCTCACCCTTCTCTATACTCTTTTTCTTGTAATCCATACTTGAATTCAGCCTCCATCTCCTGCCCCAGAAGACACAAGTCCCCAACATACTTTTTGTCTATTATCAGGTGTACATGTTTCATGGATGTTCATGAACAGATTTCAGTCACACAAAATAAAATGTTACATTTCTTCACATTCAAGTTTTACCATAAATAATAACCGCATAATATAAGCAATGAAGAGCCAGTGGAAGGCTTGAGTAGGGCAACTACATCAGATTTGTGTCTCAGAAATAGCATTCTTGAAACTCCTAAATATTGAGAGAATGGATAGATTTCCCTAGAAGTCACAAAGAAGGCATATCACATTCATATATGAAAAGACTATATTAGAGAGGGCTCACTGACACATCTGAGCTGTGGCTACTCTGGGAATTTTTGCTATTCAGTGTACCAAGGCTCTGCATTACCTTTTCAATTTTTATTTTAAATTTGCCAGAAAGTGGTATGGGAAATTCCTTCACTTAAGAAGAAGGACAAAGAGGAAGACTGGCTGCAACCCCATGAAATTATTGATAATAAAACTAACTTGGAAAAGTTAAAAAATGTGTACAAATATGAATTTATACAACAACTAAGTGGAGAAGCTGGCATTAAAACTCAGTTCTACAGCCCCATCCATTAGCAGACAGGGTGCCTAAAGCCATACTGAGCTCACAGCCACCTCTAAACACACACCCTTGCCATGGCCCTGCCCACCAGAGGAACAAGACCCAGCTCTACCCACCAATGGGCAGGTACCAGTCCCTCTCACCAAGAAGCCTGCACAAGCCTCAGGACCAACCTCACCCACCAGAGGGCACAGACTAGAAGCAAGAGGAGCTATGATCCTACAGCCAGCAGAAAGTAAACCACAAACACAGAAAGGCAGACAAAATGAGAGGGCAGAGAAATATGTTCCAGAAGAAGGAACAAGTAAAAACCCACAAGAACAACTAAATGAAGTAGAGATAGGCAACCTACCTGAAAAAGACTTCAGAGTAATGATAGTAAAGATGATCCAAGATCTCAGAAAAAGAATGGAAGCACAGACTGAGAAGTTATAAGGTATGCTTAACAAAGAGCTAGAAGATTTAAAGAACAAATAAATAGAGATGAACAATAACTGGATTGAAAAATACACTAGAAGGAATCAATAGCTGAGGCAGAAGAACAAATAAGTGAGCTGGAAGACAATGGCTGAACTCGCTGCCACAGAACAGAATAAAGAAAAAAGAATGACAAGAAATGAGGACAGTCTCAGAGACCCTCGGGGGCAACATTAAAAGCACCAACATTCGCATCATAGGGCTCCCAGAAGGAGGAGAGAGAGAGATAGGGCCTGAGAAAATATTGTAAGAGATTAAGGGCGAAAACTTCTCTAACATGAGAAAGGAAACACTCACTCAAGTCCAGGAAGCACAGAAAGTCCCACACAAGATAAACCCAAGGAGGAACACACTGAGACACACATTAATCAAACTGACAAAAATCAAAGACAAAGAAAAAGTATTAAAAGCAACAGGGGAAAAGCAACAAATAACATACAAGGGAATCCTCATAAGGTTATCAGCTGATTCTTTTAGCAGAAACTCTGCAGGACAGAAGGGAGTAGCATGATATATTTAAAGTGATGAAAGGGAAAAACCTACAACCAAGAGTACTCTACTCAGCAGGGCTCTCATTCAGATTCAACAGAGAAGTCAAAAGTATAACAAGCAAAAGCTAAGAAAATTCAGCACCACCACACCAGCTTTACAAGAAGTCTTAAAGGAACTTCTCTAGGCAGAAAAGAAAAAGCCACAACTAGAATCAAGAAAATTATGAATGGAAAAGCTCACCAGCAAAGGCAAACATAAAGTAAAGGTAGGAAATCATCCACACACAAATACGATATCAAAACCAGTAATCATGAGAAGAGAGTACTAATACATGATATAGGAAATGCACTGGAAATTAAGAGACCAGCAACTTAAAACAATCTTGTACATATATAGACTGCTGTATCAAAACTTCAAGAGAACCACAAAACCAAAATTTGCAGCAGAAACACAAAAAAGAGAAAGCAATCCAGGGGACTTCTCTGGTGGTCCAGTGGTAAAGAATCTGCCTTCCAATGCACGGGATGTGAGTTCGATTTCTGGTCGGGGAACTAGGTTCCAACACGCCACGGGGCAGCTGTGCCCAGGCACCTCAACTAGAGAGCCTGTGGGCACCAAACTACAGAGCCCACATGCTCTGGAGCCCATGTGCTGCAAATACAGAGCCCACGTGCTCTGCAGCCTGAATGCCACAACTAGAGAAGAGAAAAAACCCGCATGTCGCAAGTAGACAGAAGCCCACATGCCACAAGATCCTGCATGCCTCAACAAAGATCCCATGTGCTGCAACTAAAATCTGACGTACCCAAAAAATATTAAAACTAACTAACTAACTAAATATATATTTAAAAAAAGCAATCCAAACACAACACTAAAGATAGACATCAAATCACAA